ATGCGAACGCGCGCGCCGCGAACGCTTGTATCCGCGAGGAGGAGAGTGCAGTGTACATGACGTTTTCGCGTGGAAGCCGCACTTCCGGCCATTATGCTCGTGGCCTTGATGAGGCCTTGCTCCAAATAGCGGATAAAGCCGTAATACTTAGGCAAGATCGAAGTGCGACTCTATACCTTGACATTTGAATCGGATTATTTTTGTATTTTTTATTTTGTCGCGATAATTCAAGCGGAGACTAGCTCTCGAGCGAATGTCCTTTCTCTCCCTCTCACGTCTCATTCGTCAAAACAGCATCGAGTGATCGATCAAAGGTCAATCGTTTCCACGAGCCGTCTTAATCCTATCTTTACATTAGTATATTTATATATTTTTGGCAAATTTGACCTAATGTGTTTACTCAATGCGCGCTATGTGCGTAAATTATCAATTCCAATTTTCAGGCCGAAACGAGTATCGCGTAAAGACAGTGTAATGTTTATAAATTGTGATTTAACTGTTAATTTACAGTACATATTCGCTCGCTATTCGTGATATTTCTCGTGCCATTTTTTGGCATAGAAATGGGAATAGAATTTATTTATAGAGGGTTAAGTCGGCACTTTGGAACACGTATAATTTCCTTTGTCTTTTTTTAATAGATTCAGAATGGTTTTGTGTGTGTGTGTGCGTGCGAATAAGTGCGAGGATTATTCCTAAATATCCTCTCCATTAAGCTATTAAAGTTTAATAAAACGACAACAGCGCGTCGACCTTTTTATCGAGAGGGTCAGCGAGGGTACCGCGCGGAAATCGGAAACGGCAAACGTGAAGTGATATTTAACAGGGCGTTAATTACCGTGGCTTGTGTGGGCAAATGCAACAAGTCGCGTAAATGCCGAGCCACGATGATAATGCGCGAAAGGTCGAAGATTACCGTGTGTTCTATCGTCAACCGACCGATCCGGCCATCACCACGAAAAACTAGGTCGCGTAGCAAATGCCGATGTTCTTCCGGTCGAAGTTGCGACGCGACGTCTGTCGACTCAATCTTAATTACTGTAATCGCGCGTGCTTTGTGAAAAATTTCTTCCTTGGGGGAGATACGTCGCATTGCTGCGGTGTTTCCACATTGAGTAGTTTCTCGAAAATGCATCGATCAATATTGTTGCACAAATATTATGGCGAATAATAAGTCAAGCCGAGTAATAATAGGCGCGGTTTAACGCGATGTAACGCGAGAGTCGGACTGCTCGGAGAAATTGTGCCAAAGAGATAATATCAGAATCAGAGACTAATCATGATATTTCGCCGACGATAACAATCTACCTTTGTAGCACGCGCTTTGATCGGGGTTGCAACGGTTGTACACGAACGAAGCAGCATCAAAGTATGACACAAACTAGAATGGATAACAACGGGAAGCGAGAACAATATTTCGGACTGTCTTTACGATATAATGAGCGAAATTCGTGCAGAGACCCGATCGGATGAAATTCGCGTTGCCGTTAAAACCAGCCCGGAGAATTCGAGCCGATGGCGAGAGAAAATTTCCCTCACGACCAAATAGGAAAAAGGACTCGCGATTCTGCGCGCTTTTCGATCTCGGAGGAGGTCGAGAATTCCGATTACTCCACGTATACGCGAAAAATTATGCTCCGCGACGAGATGCACGGGGGGGGGGTAGGAGGGTGGGTGGGCAGCGGCAGGGAGAGAGTCGACGCAGAATTGAAATTCTCGATCTCTCACGGTCACTGGCCATGGCATTCAGGCAATGCCACGGTGCCGCTGAACGAGTCGAAGATCACTGGCCCCGGTTTCTCGGTCACTGCTCGGTTCGGCGCTGGCCCGAAGAGATCGATGAATCGCTTAGTAGCAGTCGCGCGCGAGATACGCACGTGCGCAACGTGCGGGGAACGCCGGAGAGCGAATGAATTATTCGACTTGCCGGGCTTGTTTTTCCATCATTGTAAACTCGTAGCGCGCTTCCGATATCGGCGGCGGTTGTCGCCGACGACAACAGGGAGATATCGTCGCGGCGGATCTCGTCGCGCGGTTGCTCCTGCGCGAGGGGGGACGAGGCACGTGCCGTCGCGCGAAAGCGAGTACGACGACGGTACGGGGGTATCTCGCGCCGCCGCGTCCGCGTATTTGCATTTCTCTCCGGCCGTATAATGACAGTTATTAATCGACGATTATAGCGGCGATTGCGTTATGTTGCGGGCCAATCGCCGCGCCGCGCCTCGCCGCGCCGGCCACCGATTCTCTCGACGGCCGGCGCACGCGAGCCGATCAGCTGATCAACTGACAGAACGCGCGACGACGACGAAGCCGCGCGCGCGCACGCGCGCGGATACGCGAATTAATATCTCGGAGTCGAGCGTGCAGTAACGTTCGCGCTAATCGCGGGAAACGAGGGGCCACTTAACCCGTAGACTTTCAGATGTGTAACCCCGCGCAGACCGCTGTGGCATTTATATCGCGCGTATCGTACGCGTGTCGCGCGCGCGCACACGGCTATCGATTCTCTCTTTCGCTTGCGCGTCTCTCTCTCTCTCTCTCTCTCTCTCTCTCTCTCTCTCTCTCTCTCTCTCTCTCTCTCTCTCTCTCTCTCTGCGTTCGCCTGGCGAGCTGCCTGGCTCCATCGTCGATTGCGCGTTAACATTCAGCCCAGCCGCAAAAATGCTGCAATCACGTCGCCCGTGTGCGCGTGTTTGTGCGTACGCGACCGCTTTCTGGCGCTTTCTCGCCTCGCCTCGCCTTGCCTCGCGTCAGCCTCGCGACGTTCAACAGCAAAGTCCTCGAAATCCACGAGGGGTTTGTATCGCGATATCAACTGATTTCTATTGCGCAACTAGGACTGTTTTTCCCTAAGGTAACCGCGAAATTAAATGGCGTGGAGAAAAACCGATTGCAAGATCGACGAGGAGAGATATCAAACGCCAGAGACAGGCGGAATAGGGATAAATTTGCACGCGAGCTGCTCGGAGAGAGACGTCGACCGCTGCTCTCTCGATTGACCTCAGATTGATCGTAATGACTTTTTCGCTAATAGGCTTGGGATTAAAAGCAGCTTCGTAAGCTCGAAACGATCTCAAAGGACGCAATGTTCCGACGGAATCCCGCGGGAGTAATTCACGCGTAAGACTAGTTTCGCAGGGCGGCAGTAGAGGGGCAGGAGGCGGGAGGGAGGGAGAGATGATGCGTCCGCGCTCGTTGGTTCGTTCGCTCGCTTGCTCGCTCGCTCGCTCACTCGCTCGCTCGCTCGCTCGCTTGTTCGCCTTCTCCTTCGCCCGAGGAGGAGAGTTGAGGATGATACAGGTACTAGAGAGAAGAGCGGGTCGTTGAACCTCACGAACGAACGGACGGACGAACAGACGGACGGATGGACGGGCGGTCCTCTCTTCTTGCGTATGCCTTGCACGCTCTTTCGACCGGGTTTTCGTTCGCCCTTCTTATCGCGCGTGGACGTCGACGCCGTCGACGTAACTCGTGCGCGCTCCGAATGTCGTCGTCGTGCTCGTCGAAATCGCGTCGAGATTGAAACATTCGTTCTTTTGTGATTTCGAGTGACACGCGGTATTTTCACTGGTCGAGCTTCGTGCGAGTTTCCTCACTTGTTTCGAGCGACATGTCGTTGCGGGACATTTCGAGAATAATATCTCGCTGGAAGTGTGTATGTTCCCGGTTGAACGGAGAAGTGTTTCTCTCTCGTGTAACATTCCGCGTATCCGCTTCCCGCGCGTGTACAGGACAAAGATGGATATAAAATGAAAACCGTTAGTTTCGCGACGCTCGGTATTTAATGCTACACC